ACACATGGCTTAGTATTTAAAACACATGACCTAGTATTTAAAACACGTGACCTAGTATTTAAAACACGTGACCTAGTATTTAAAACACATGACTTAGTATTTAAAACACATGACCTAGTATTTAAAACACGTGACCTAGTATTTAAAACACATGACTTGGTATTTAAAACACATGACCTAGTATTTAAAACACGTGACCTAGTATTTAAAACACATGACTTAGTATTTAAAACACATGATCTAGTATTTAAAACACATGACCTAGGATTTAAAACACATGACCTAGGATTCAATGTAGTACTTTTCAGAAACGTTCTCTTCCCTGCGTTGATAAACTCACTTCAAAACGACATAAACGTTCTCTTCCCTGTGTTGATAAACTCACTTCAAAACGACGTAAACGTTCTCTTCCCTGCGTTGATAAACACACTCCAAAACGACATAAACGTTCTCTTCCCTGCGTTGATAAACTCGCTTCAAAACGATGGAAACGTTCTCTTCCCTGCGTTGATAAACTCACTCCAAAACGACATAAACGTTCTCTTCCCTGCGTTGATAAACACATTCCAAAACGACGTAAACGTTCTCTTCCCTGCGTTGATAAACTCGCTTCAAAACGACGTAAACGTTCTCTTCCCTGCGTTGATAAACTCACTCCAAAACGACATAAACGTTCTCTTCCCTGCGTTGATAAACTCACTTCAAAACGACTGGAAACGTTCTCATCCCTGCGTTGATAAACACACTCCAAAACGACGTAAACGTTCTCTTCCCTGCGTTGATAAACTCACTTCAAAACGACGTAAACGTTCTCTTCCCTGCGTTGATAAACTCACTCCAAAACGACGTAAACATTTTCTTCCCTGCGTTGATAAACACACTCCAAAACGCCGTAAACATTTTCTTCCCTGCGTTGATAAACACACTCCAAAACGACATAAACGTTCTCTTCCTTGCGTTGATAAACTCACTTCAAAACGACGTAAACATTTTCTTCCCTGCGTTGATAAACTCACTCCCAAACGCCATAAACGTTCCCTTCCCTGCGTTTATAAACTCACTCCAAAACGACGTAAACGTTCTCATCCCTGCGTTGATAAACTCACTCCCAAACGCCATAAACGTTCCCTTCCCTGCGTTTATAAACTCACTCCAAAACGACGTAAACGTTCTCTTCCCTGCGTTGATAAACTCACTCCAAAACGATGGATAAAACATTCATTTTTAAAATCTACTGTAGATTTTAAATATAATTTCTATTTCCAGCTGCAACTGGTCGGATTGTAGTGTCAACATTGTCTTAAAAGTAACTTACTAATATACGTGAATAAACACCATTCTGCACAGAATAAATAGAATTTATTTGACTTTCGAAACAAGAAATGCGACAAGTTTTATTCGGTGTCTGTTTTTTTTTAACTGTGTTTAAAAAAGTAGTTTCACTTCTATAGATACATTTGAGAAACAGCCCGAAAAGATATCGAATTCCTCCCTCCCTCTTTTTTTTTTCTTTTTGCGCTGATACTGCTTTAATTTTCTGATGTGTTGAACCAGGAACATGTTTCTCTACGTTAATATGTTTCCATTTTAGGCTGTTTTATAACTTTAAAGTTTGTTCTGCTATTCACAGCATCATAAAACTATGGATATAATGAGTATTGTCTTTATTTCCGATATTGAAATTTACCAAGACGTGAGATTTTTCCCTAGAGAGGTCGCTATTGAAAATAACTAGAGAAAGAGCCATGTTTTAATTTAGTGTCTCAAGGGAAACGCCATCTAGGTGAGTCGAAAGATGGCATATTCTTCGGGGAATAAGATGTGTTCATTTCAATACAGATAACTTTGGTTATATTTTCTCCATGTTGAATATATCATTTCAAAACTTCAACCAAAGTGTAAATCTCTCGCCAATACTCTTCGAAACTGTTTTCCTACAGAGCAAACATTTGTTTACGCACTCAACTTTTTCATACAAAAGATTGTATAGCTTCTATTGTTCTTAAAAGTGGAACAAAGGAATGAGCCGTCCCTTAGTGACTGACTCGACTGTGAAGTACGTAACACCGATAGTATATTGTTAATTTAAAACAGCTGCTACAGAAAATAATCTAAACATTGTGTAGACTATTAGCATGTTACAAATAAGTCATAATCTACATGCTATAGACTAGTACAGAGTATTAATTTACCAGGTAGGCCAATGTTTCATGTTCCTAAGTATGATAACGTTTTGACAGTATACAGTATTATCTTCCTAAGTATGCCAATGTTTTAACAGTATATAGTATTATCTTCATAAGTATGCTAATGTTTTAACAATATACAGTATTATCTTCCTAAGTATGCTAATGTTTTAACAGTATATAGTATTATCTTCCTAAGTATGATAATGTTTTAATTAGTCTACAGTATTATCTTCCTAAGTATGCTAATGTTTTCCATGTTCCTAAGTATGCTAATGTTTTAACAGTATACAGTATTATCTTCCTAAGTATGCCAATGTTTCATGTTCCTAAGTATGCTAATGTTTTAACAGTATACAGTATTATCTTCCTAAGTATGCCAATGTTTTAACAGTATATAGTATCATCTTCCTAAGTATGCCAATGTTTTAACAGTATTATCTTCCTAAGTATGCCAATGTTTTAACAGTATACAGTATTATCTTCCTAACTATACCAATGTTTTAACAGTCTACAGTA